CAATATCACAAATGACCTGCAGATGGCAGCAGTGTATGCAGCAGCAGCCTCAGCCGAAGAAAAGAAAGAAGAAAAAAAACCGTCAGTGAGACAGCTGCCACTAGTACAGAAACATCTAGTTCAAAAGACGATCACAAACCACCTTATTCTTATGCTCAGCTTATAGTACAAGCCATCTCATCAGCTAGTGATAAACAGCTCACTTTGAGTGGGATCTATTCCTATATAACCAAGAATTATCCTTATTACCGTACAGCAGACAAGGGCTGGCAAGTAAGTATACAGTTGAACACTATTACGTCGTCTTCATATCACCATTGACTGATTTGTTGATCCCCCCCCCCCCCCCGTCAAGCTTATGATAGCTGGATAATACGAAAATGTTTGAGAGTGTTTGTATTATCTCATTTGAACATCCAGTCTGCAAGTCAATGAGCCTGAATTCAAGGGGATTGGGTGGGCTACAGATGGTTATTACGGTTTCTGGTATTGAGATTAGAACAAACAAAACGTACTTCAATAAAGGGTGCAATTTGTTAGCCTCAAAAAAACCTACTTTACTGAAAAAATAACTGAATAGTATTTGGTCATAAAGATGCAGAATGTATGGGCTTGGCTGGATAATGATCCCCCCTTGCACAAAATAGTGAAAGTGTCCATGTTCAGGCAGGTATTGCACTTAGCCACCATCCAGTGGGAAGAAAGCTTTGCTGAGCCATTTCTGTCAACAGAACTTGCAAAAACCATGGAGAAGACTGGTTTATCGAGCTGAGGAACCAGATCTTGTATTGCCCAACATGTGCAATCACTTTTGTGTTTTGTTGGGTGATTCTGGACTTGTTATAGCTTTTACTTCCTCATGGCCGGGAAACTAGTGCAAATTTGGCCACAGTGGTAAGCAGTTGAGATTCCAGATATTTCAAGGAGTTCAAACCTCTTTTGAGAATTAAAAAGAGAGAGAGTACTGGAAAGCTTTGTTTGGGAATCAACCCACCAAAAATGTTTCCATGACTCTCAGACTGGGTGTTAATTACAATAAAAATATCTTTCACGGGTTACTTTAATTATTTTTTTTCAACAACTTTAGTTTTCTGGAGCTTAGAAGGTCGTGCTAGTTTTCAGCTACATCAGAAATTAGTGTATGGAATACATCATCATAGGTTGTTTAATATGCAGGAAATGGAGATTGTGTTAACTAAGAGAACCTTACTGGTATCATACACTTTGAAATGGTAATTGGACAAAAGGGAAAGGGTAAACATGAGATGCTAGGAAAGAAGATACATAACATAAATAGGGTAAAATGTTTATGATGTGCTATTAATCATAAAGACGTTATTATTAATTAGAATCTATACCTTTCCACCAGAAATAGTAACTTGATGTACATCTTTGTAGACACATCATCAATAATTATATGTTAGTATTTATCACAGGAAAGTAAGTCCATAAAGAATGGTACTTTGTATTCATTTGTATAGATGAAATACGGGAAGTTATCACACACAAAGTGCTTTAAAATTTCATAGATTGCCAAACTTAGAAACCACTGAGAAGTGTCCTTAAAGTGAATATTCTTTCTCTGTGCGTGGTCTAGTTGTGGTTAACTTTGTAATGAAGAAAAAAGGATAAAAATTTCAGAGTATGAATTGAAGGTTTAATATTTTTTGCATTAATTATTAAATGGTTATTTTTTTCCTGTTAGAACTCAATCAGACATAATCTGTCCTTAAATCGCTACTTTGTAAAAGTGCCAAGATCCCAGGAGGAGCCAGGGAAGGGGTCCTTTTGGAGGATAGATCCTCAATCTGAATCTAAACTAGTAGAGCAGGCCTTCAGACGTCGCCGACAGCGAGGTGTTCCCTGTTTCAGAGCTCCATTCGGTGGTCTTTCATCAAGGTTAGTAAAAAAATAGAGACACCTTATTTGTATTTGTAGGATCAGAATTCTGTATGTTTTATTTGTTGATGCACACGGAGAGAACTAAAAATTTGTAAAATGTTTTATTTTCATTCCTGGAAGTTTATTTTATGAATTATTATTTTTTTACATCGGATCTACTTAAATATTCCATAATGCTGTATTTTTACATATGTTTTGCTTTCATTGAATAATATAAGAATACCAAAACAGGTTAATATTTGTCGGTGAGAAACGTAATGTCTGTATTATGAAGACGGTTACCTGGTTACCTTGATAGAAGATAATCTTCCTCCTTGCAGATCCGCACCTGCTTCTCCATCTCACAGTGGCTTCAGTGGCTTGACCACGCCAGATTCTCTCTCTCGAGAACCCAGTCCAGTACCTGAAGGCATGGCAGAATCCACAAGTGAAAGCCAGACAGGTGTCACCATAGTAACTCCTGGTTCCTACTTCACTTCTCATGAGATCAAAACTAGCCAATCTGCCCCAGGATCTCCTGGTAAGTTTAATACCAGTAAGTAAGTAAGTAAGAGGTTTGTGAAAAAATACTGTGTTTCAGTTTATTTTCCACAATTGGTATTGCCATAGCTAAATTAAATTTAGAATCAATTTTGATATGCCATTATTGTTTTGCATTGAAAATAGTAAGTTTAATCTGCAGAGTTTGAAACACGTAACAATTTTGTTCGTTCTGACAAAAACGTTTATGAATTAATTGGCTCGCAAAAAGTAAAATTTGTTCGTAATAATTTATTGTGTGAAACTGCTTAAACACTATACGTTTCATAAAAATTCATACAATAGGTCTGCATAAAACATCACTTTCAATACTGAAGTATATTTACTATAATGATAAACTTGTGTTGTATGCATAAAATATTTGGTTTATGCTAACATGAATACCTGTGAGCTTGCAAAAATAGCTCTTTTTATATAAGTGCATTACCATTTTTCATTCCATTTTAGTGAAGCATCATAGTCAGGAAACTTATAAACTTTTAAAGATTGAGTTCATTTTCTCCGAAGTATAAATGATAGTAGAACATCAGATGTATCTGTAAACATGTGCAGCAGTTCCTTCATCAGCACAGCTGTGTCTGCAAACATAAATAGCAACTTCTTCATCAGCACAGCTGTGTCTGCAAACATTTAGCAGTTCCTTCATCAGCACAGCTGTGTCTACAAACATGTGCAGCAGTTCCTTCATCAGCACAGCTGTGTCTGCAAACATTTAGCAGTTCCTTCATCAGCAC